TTCAAAGCTACCAGCGGTTCCACGGGAGAAAGATGAGGCTTTTTGCTCCCATAAAGATTTACAGCCTCGGAAATCCTGTACAGGGTCGCTATGAGTAGGAACTGACTCCAAGGCACACCACCACCACTATATCAATGGTTTATAAACAAATTTGACAGTGACTCATAGTATGGTGTGTCGCTGAGGGTTATTCCGCCACACTGTAAAGCCGTTTGAACTGCAAGGTCAGCGGTTCAAGCTCACAGCTGCTCCTCAGAAACCCTAAACAGGGTCACTATGGGTTGGAATCGACTTGATGGCACTTAACAACAACAACAACAACATAGCATGCAATAACATTTAGATCAAAACCCAGGTCAAACATAGAAAAATATAACTAACTGAAAAAACTTTAATAAAGTTCTAATTTTGTAAAATTCTAATCTAGGCAATTTAAAACAAAAGCTGGACCCATTTTACTACATTGATTTCACAACCCTTTAATGGGGCAGGGCTTCTAATTTGTAAAAAAAAAAGAAAACTTCTAAATTCCTTGAAGGGAAGAGCCATTTCTGTCCTGTTCATGGTAACAGAAACATAGTAGGAACTCAATAGATATTTGTGATTGGAATAAATAAGTAATAATAATAAAATCTAACTCACTTAATTTTCAAAACCCTAAGGAAGAAACTATTATTATCCCCATTTACATATGAGGAAACTGAGGTGAAGGGAAGTTAAATAATTTATTCAACATCTAAAGGTTGGTAAACTAGCTAGGCAGTTTGACTTCAGAGTCCCTGGGTGGCGCAAATGGTGAACATACTCAATGAAAGGTTGAGGTTCGAGTCTACCCAGAGGCACCTGGGAAGAAAGGCCTGGCAATCTACTTCTGAAAAAAAAAAAAAATCAGCATTGAAAATGCTAAGGAACTCACCTACTCTGGTACACATAGGGTCACCAATAGTCAGACTCAATGTGATGGCCACTGGTTTAGCTCGTTTAGTTTGACTTCAGAATCCTTGTTCATAATCACAACAAAGTGTTCAATATCCCTTGGTTCAGCGGCATTAGGATGAATTTATCAAGCAAAACTCCCAGAAAAGGTCTCCTTGCAGCAACCTCAAACTAGATCTCTGTCTTTAATCCTGCAGAGACTCCTTGGGCAGTATTTATGTCTATGCAGAGAAGGAGGCAGCTGGCAGGAGCAGCTGTTCTCCTTTGCTCACATGTGCTCGAC